AGCTGGCTCCTTTCTAGAATGTTCAGATGAATGCATCAATGTTTCCTGTTAGTCTTTAGATATCCTGGCCAAACCACACTCTCCATTCTCTGGTGTCTTCCCGCTCAGTGTGTAGGAGCCTCAGTCTCATCCTCATGTGTTAGAGCCCTCAGAGAGTAGTGGGTCAGGTGGGGACGGTTTGAATCTGGGAGTCACGTAAAGTTGAAATGAGAGCAGATTGAATTTAGAAATGGATCCCAAGAGGGCACAGTACTGAATAACCAGTCTTGCACGTCTTTCCATTTTGTTTATGAAGAGTATTTATTCTACACGTTTCTTTGGATGAGTAGATTATAAAAAGTTAACACCCTTGCCAGAGGTGATGGCACACACCTTTAATCCCAGCATTTGTGAGGCAAGGACAGGAAGATCTCTGCAACTTTGAGGTCAACATAGCAAGTTCAGGCCAGTCAGCTAGCCAGAGGTCATGGTGAGACCTTGTCTAAAAATGTTAATACCCTTATAATGTGTCCTTTAGAAATAGAACAATGGAATGTTATTTCAGTGGGCAAACCAAGCACGTGAGCTGATTTGATGTCTCCAAGGTTGGATTGTTTTTCTCTTGGTTATTTAGGGTTTTGGTTCTCCCCTACCCTCCCTGCCTTCCTCTCTCGCTTCTTTCCTGCTACTCTTCCTTCCTTTCTCTTTTTTTCTTTTCTTTGGAGATGGGCTAGTCCAGGCTTTGGGGATCCTTGACTTGGTGGCCCTCCTGCTTCTGCCTCCCAAGTGCTAGAATCACATGCATGCATTCCAGGCCTGGGTGGCTCCCTAGATGTCTCAAGGCTGGATTCTACCTCATCCATTCACATACATTGTTATTATTATTGCTGCTGTTGTTGTTTGGAAGAGCCTCCCTATGTATACAGGCCTTGAACATACTGCCAGGACTCCTGGCTCTGCCTTAGCCTTCTGAATACTGTGATTGAAGTCCTGGCACGTGCCACCATGCCCAGCTGCACTTATTTTTAAAGAACTGCTTTGAAGGGCCTCAGACCCTCTCAGCAAAGAGCATCTCTGAGGTATAAAGCCTGGGACATTATTCAAATCATCCTAATTGGATTTCTCAAGCCCCGATCTAATCAGCAAGCTGTTTTGCTTAGCTTCTTGGTCAAGTTCATTCATTAATTCAGAAAGCATTTATTGAATATTTGCAGAGTCTACCCATGGGCTAGATGTAACAGGATTAATGGATGAATGGAGCCCTGTCCTTTAGGGGTTTGTAGTCTTGCTGAATTGGGGGGAGGAAATAATAGAAATAATAGAACGCTATTTAGGCTGTCTGACGGCTTTTGTCCTTGAAATGTGTTAGCGGTCTTTCACGTCAAGTAATTGACAGTAACTGTGACTTTATGCTCTGGAAACCACATTATGAAGTATTTTCTTTTCATATTTATTTCACAGTTAATATTGCAGTTCTTTTCAGATATGCTCTTGTGAGAATACTCAATCCCCACTAAGCGATGCTGTGAAGTTAATAGAATTGTTGGCATTTTGTGCTTTGCAGTCTGTGCATTTGGGAGGGTTCTGGGCAAGAAAAAAGAATGCAAAGTTGAACCCGCATTTATTGTTTTATTGGAGCAAATTGTCATATAAAACTGCTGCCCTCACCCATTCCATGCACATACCAAGTCCTGCGAGAATTTCCCATCAGCTTCCATCGCCATGATGGATATAAATAGGAAGCGAACACTGATTTTAGCTGAGGCCTCAGACACAATGAGATTCTTTTACTCTTTGAAGGAAAATGTCCACTTATGTATGAACTGTTAGAAAGAAATGACTTTCTGCTACTTAGAAGAGTAGGAAGCTGAAATCAGAAATGCCTCCCTATGCCCCAATCTTTTCTAATTGTGATTTTTCTATTCTGTATTTCATATATCTGCTCTTCTAAGATGCACTTTTGGTCATAGACTGGAAGCTACTCTTGGTGGCTCTTACTCATTGTCCCTTCTAACTAATGTTTTTTTTTGTGCAATATATATTTTCTTCTGTTACTGTTACAAATTCAACTTTACATTTGTGTCCATAATGAGGAGTAAATGAGGAGTAATCAAAAGACCTAGTTGCTTCTGTGCACAGGCTAGAAAAGGGTATGCTTCCACTGGAGTCCCATGTTGATCTCTCTAGATGTAATGATGTTCTCTGGTGTATGGCTGCCTTGCCTCCTGAGTCAGTAGTTTGGGTAGTTTGATGCTGTCTCAGGGGTTGGTTCCTAGCTATGAAGGTGACGACAGTTTAGCTGTCATAGTCCACAGGTGCTCAGGAGCTGAATACACTTGCTTAGGTTTCTGCTAGGACCTGATGGTGGGATTTTATTTCTCTCCTCTTCCTCCTCCTCCCACATCTTTTCCTCTTTCTCTTCTTTTTTCTAACCACAACTCTCTGAGACAGTTTGTAAAACTCTGAAAGACTTGTTTTTCTCTCATTCATCTAAAATTTAAAAGTTCTTCAGCTATCCCAAGGCTTTGTGCTTGGGTATTAGGGGTATGTGTGTGAAGCCTATACCCAAGGTTGCTTTTATTTCCTTCCTTCCTTCCTTCCTTCCTCCTTCCTTCCTTCCTCCTTCCTTCCTTCTTTCCTTCCTTCCTTCCCTTCCCTTCCCTCACCTCACCTCCCCTCCCCTTTCCTTCCTTCCTTTTTTTCTTATCTTTCTTCCTTCTTCCCTCCTTCCCTTCTTTCCTCCTTCCCTCCCTCCTTCCTTTCCTCCCTTTCTTTTCTTTTTTCTTCCTTCTTGGCCCCCAGTGCCAAATAATATTTCAACCAAGAACTTTCACATATAGTTACAGCTCAAGTCTTGCTAAATTGCTCAAGCTATCATCAAACTATGTAGCCCAGTCAGGCTTTGAAATTATAATCCTCCTGCCTAGGCCCTCCCCCTTGTATCTAGGCTGAGAGAGTACCCCTCCATGAGGAATGAGCTCCCAAAGTCCATTTGTGCACTAGGGATACATCCTGGTTCCACTGTCAGAGGTCTCATAGACTGCCCAGGCCTCCTGACTGACACCCACACTCAGAAGGCTTGGTTCAGTCCAATGCTGATTCCCCAGTTTTATGACTGGGGTCCGTGTGCTCCCACTTGGTCAAGTCAGCTCTTTCTGTGGGTTTCCCCAGCATGGTCTTGACCCCTTTGTTCATCCCTCCTCCTCCTCTACAACTGGATTCCAGGAGTTAAGCTCAGTGCTTATCTGTGGATGTCTGCTTCTGCTTAGGTTATGGAGACTCTTAAAGACCCAAAGGCGAAACCTGTAGTTTCTGAATAAACAAAAGTATGTTTTTGTGAATAGTGAAAACTGGGTTAGCATTGGTGAGGAGACCATTGAATCTAGAGAAAAAAAAAAAAACCAAGAAACACGCCAGAGAAAGTCCCTCAATGTGGGAGGAAAACCATGTGAGATAAGGATTGCCCTAGAAGGTTCTCTCTCCTTCAGTCTCTCCTCCTCACCCCTTTGTTTCTTATATCATGTTAGACTATCTTATCACCTTCAAATGTTGACTTATCTTTTATTTTCCAAGCCAGGGTCTTGCTATGTATCCCAGGATAACACTGACCTTTCTGTCTTCAGATCCTCCTGCCCCTGAGTCTTAGCTAAATTTGGATCCCAGGCCCATGTCACCACACCTGGCCACTGTTCCTTTCATAAAAATATATGGCTGGAGGCTGTGGAACATACTTTGATTCGAGGAGCCAAGGTTGTTGCCGATTACCTATCTTCCTTGAAGGCTCCACCTTTATGATGAGTCTGGATGATTCTATAGATCAAATGCGTTGTCTGTATCTTGCTGGGGCATTGGAAAATTTTCCAACAAGCTCATTGTAATAACTTCCAACTACTGAAGACCTGTTTCTGGAACTTCCTGGTTAGGACTCCAAGAGACACTAAAAGAAACACAGAAAGCCAGACATCAGCTGGGCTTTCTGATGTACAGACACCATTGGTGGCACATGTCTACCCTTGAGTGTGGAGAACTACTGTTCTTGCCTCACCAGTACCTCACCAGTACCATTCCTGGGTGGAGTCTTGATAGGTCCGTGAAGATGCAGAGAGGCAACCTACCCTTTAGGGTGTAACACATTTCCCCCTCTGCTCCTAGTAGTGAGGGGGTGTTCCCAGTAGCCGTTCCCCTTGTTGCTTCCCTCTGCTTCTCTTGCTGTGGGTTCTCTTGCTTGTGTTGAGGGATGCTGAAGTAATGTGGGCTCTTCCTTGGCAGATGTAAATCAGTCTTTTCACACTGAGAGCTTTGAGCACAATGGACAGTGGTCCTCTGTGTGGAGGAGGAGGGTGCTCATGGGGGAGGAGTGTGCTCATGGAGGAGGAGGAGGGTGCTCTTGAAGGAGGGAGTGCTCATGGGGGAGGAGGGTGCTCATGGAGGAGGAGGAGGGTGCTCATGGGGGAGGAGGAGGGAGTGCTCATGGGGGAGGAGGAGTGTGCTCATGGAGAGGATTGTGCTCATGGAGGAGGAGGAGGGTGCTCTTGGAGAAGGGGGTGCTCATGGGTGAGGAGGGTGCTCCTGGGGGAGGGAGGAAGAGCAGATTTCCATTGGTAACCAGTCTGAACAGTGCTGTCCTGGGCAGTCAACTTGCAGGAGAGGATTTTGCTTATAGTTCATCTCTGGCAACTTGAATTACTTTCCAAGTATCACAAGTGTCCACCCCATGTCTATTTCTGTAAGTGGATAAGCCGCACTATTGTCCTCCACCTTGAAAAGAAGCTGAACTTTCAGCTCTGGCCCTGTAGCCTGAACAAAGCAGTTACCCCAAGTGTCCTGATTTGGGGAGATTTGTTCCTCTCTGTCCTAGGAGAGGTGTGTCTCACCACAGGTATAAGGGATATCAGATGTTAGAGACTCATTCAGGCCACTGGGGTAGTTTCGACTCCACAAGGAGCTCTGCACAAGATTCTCATGCTTGTGTGTTCATATATATGTATGTATTTATTTATGTATTTATTTTCTTGCTGCAGGAAAGCCATCTCCCGGACAGGCCTCCAGCACCTGGCCCCTGCACATCCTCTTGGCCTTCCTGTGGCAAATGGTCCAGCGAAGGAGCCCAGAGCGACCCTGGACTGGAGCGTAGGTGTCTGCTGGTTTTTCATTTCGTTTTGTTTTTGTTTGTTTTCTTTCAAGTTAATTTCAGTTGCATGCTGTGTCTTTCTTATCGAACCCTCAGGGTTCTGTAAGAACACATCTTCTGATAGTCTTTAGTGGTCATGTTAATGAGATCACTAACTATGGGCTGGAAGCCGTTCTCCCCACCTGAAGCCATGTGCAGGGCTGCTCTTCAGTTCTGCCCTGCTGTCTCAACAATGAACAGAACAGGCTCATCCATGTCCTTTTCCGAGTAATGGGAAAAAAGGGGCGTGTTTATCTTTGTAACCAACTAAAACATAAAAGTCCTATGTATTTATGGTGTGCCATGTGGTGTTTCAACACATGGACTCAGTGTCAAAGTTTAAATCATGGCAAAGTAGATCTACTCAGACATTTATCAGTTATTTATGATACAAACATTCTAACTCATTTTTTCTAGCCTTCTGCAAAAAAAAAAGTACATTATACTATCACTGTTTATGGTCACTCTACTGTGAAATAATATCTAACTATGACTTACTATCCATTGAAGAATCTTTCCCTTGATTATTTCACTGTTGTCTCCCTCAGCCTCTGGTAACCACCATCTTACTGTCAGTGTAGGATAGACTTTGTAATAATGTATATGTAAGTGACTTTCCACAGCACTCTTGCTTATCTGACTAAACACAAAAGCCTCCAGTTCCATCTATGTTGCAAGTGACAGGTTTTCCTTTTCCTGTACAGATAAATAATATTCCACTCTGTATATGCACCACTTTTTTTTCTGGAAGATAATATGGCATTTTATTGCATTTTTTAAAAAAAAATGTCCTTGGCAAAAGGACTGTAAAAAGTAAGCTCTGTTTTTTCATGTTGCCCTAAATGGGCTTTTAATTTGAGCTGAGACAAAGGCACGCCTGTTTTCAATGTCTGTGTTCCTATGGACAAATCTTACTTCCACACTCTTTCAACTTGGCAGAACTGAAATCCCTTAGAGGGACTTCCTGTGTGTGTGGCGGGGTCTGGTAGATACTTCTTCCATAAGCCAGTGGTGTGGTCTCTCAAATGGAAAAAGCACTGCCCGACAGCAAGTATGTCTTGACCTTAGCTTCTCATGGGGCAGAATGAGAAACATTCATTTCATTTTGCTGCTTTCAAAGCTAAAATGATTGGAACCACAGTTAAATATTATTGGCATAGCATAATATTAGAATCTTTTCTCCTGCCACTAAGTCATCTGAATGTTTGCTGGGCCAGGGAAAGAAGCCATTGGTACATCTTCTTGCTTCAGTTTCTACTTCTATGTAACATTGTAACGTACCCAAGACTTCTACACATATGAAACTAAAGGGTCTCAAACACTCTTCTTTATAGTACTGGGTCTTAAACCTGGGCCTCATGTGAACAGGCAAGCACTTCACTATTGATCTATATGGAAAACACTTTGAGAGAACGATGTCTCTCCCAGTAGCCCAGGCTAGCTTAGAACACACTCTGTAACCCAAGCAGGACTTGAACTCCCGAGCCTCCTAATCCAAACTCCCAAAGAGCTGGATTCTAGACATGAGCCACTTGTCCAGCTTCCTGACTCTTTATTAATTGGCCTTCCCAAAAATGTAACAAAGCTTAGCAAAATAATAGTCTGTGTTTTGCTTCTGATGTAAACTCCTTCCTTCTTTATGTTTCCGATTGCTTATATGAAAAAAAACATGCATTTCCTTCCACTAACCTTCATCTGTTCTCAGGTAGGTTGTTCGGCATTTCTTTTGCATCCAGGAACTCTCTTCACCCTTTACCAGGAAATACAGGCATGTAGACATGTCACATTTTTTGTGTGTGGGGGGAGGGGTGCGTGTTCACGTGAGTGTGAAGGAGTTGTCATTCCTACGGCACTATCTATCTACTTTGTTTTTTTTTTTTTTTTTCTTTGAAACTAGGTTTCTTATTGATCTGGAACTTGCCAAATAGGCTAGGCTTGCTGGCCAGCTTGGGAGCCCCAGTAACCCACCTTTCTGTCTCTCCCAAGCTCTGGAGTTCCTTTGTTGATGGACACTCAGGGTTGCTTCCAGATCCTGACTGTCGTGAATAGTGTTTCAATGAACATGGCAGGTGTGTCTTTTACTCATGCAAATCAAAGGATTTTCATTTCCTTTGGATACAGACCTAAGACTGAGATTGCTAGGTCAGGCAGTGGTTCCGTTTTCGACTCTTTTGAGGAGTATCCATTGTGTTATTGTAGCTATGCCTGTTGCCATTCCCATCACCAACACGAAGAGTTCCCTTTCTCAACATCTCTGCAGTCTGTGTTAACTTCTATATGATGAGAGCCACTCTTATGGAAGGAGGGGCTGTTTCACTGTAGTTTTGATTTGTAGTTCTATGATGACTGTTTTTTGTATTTTAAAATCCTGCTGGTCATTTACATGTCTTTTTTTGAGACATGTTGATTTAGACCTACCACCCATTTTTGAAGTTGGGATATTTGTTGGCTATCGAGAGTTTCAAGTTTCAGTATATATATATGAATAGTCTGAGTATTTACCCCTATCAGGTATGCAGTGTGAAATACTTCCCCCACTCTATAGTGTGTCCTTTAACTCTGTTGCCTGCTATCTTTGCTGTGTAGAAGTGTTTGAGTTTTACAGAAACCTGTTTGCCCATCTCCCTTTGTTTCTTGTTCTTTGGGGGCCTCTTTAGAAAGTCCACCCCATCGAAGTACCCTGAATCACGTCTCCTGCATTGTCTTATAATGGTTTATAGTGTCAGCTCTTATACTTAAGTGTTTGGTCTGTTTAAGTTGGTGAGAAATAGCTGTCTATCATCATTTTCTGCTGAGGACATCCATCTTTATCTAACATCATTTCTGTTTGTGGAGAGAATCATTGTGTCATGATGAACGGTATCATTATTGAAAAGGACATCATTCTTTTCCAGGACATATTCTCCTACTCTAGTTTAAACCCAGCTGCCTATAGGTGTGTTTTTTAAAGTGTGTCTGCCACAGTTGAATCTCCCATGCATTAGGACATTATTTTCTGCCCCCGGCGAAGGCTGCCATCCTTGTTTTGCATTCTAGGTGGGTTCCTTGGGATCAAGGGGGTGATGAAGATGTGGCTTACAGAGCTAAAATCCATGGCTAGGAAGGAATCAACAGTGGGGGGACATAGCACAGCAATGCCTGGGCCAGGAGAGTTCATGGGGGCGGAGGTGGGGAGTGTCCCTGGGCTATGAGAAAGGACCCTCTAGTTGTGGCTGATGTTGGGAATAGTCATCGAGTTTCCTGCCTAAGCCTGCATTAGGCTAGCAGGCATTATTTTCTGATTCCCGTGGAGAGGTATACACTGTAGCATTCATCCGTATAGTCCTTTTGGCTAGCAGTAGGAGGCTCTGATGCACAATAGGGGCCAAACAAATAGGAGCTGAGGCTGGGTGTATTGTGGTCTCTTGTTCCTCTTTCTTTCCTCCCAGGTGATTGGCGGTGGGCACTCTGTGATGGTGAGCTGCTGAAAGTCCAGTGGGAAAGCGAAGAGGGGGACATTCCCTTCCTGGAGACCAGATGTGGCCCTGGAACAGATGCATCTCTTGGCTGTTACGGGTGTCAGCAGACAAAAGCCAGCAGTGACTAGCACCCAATCACACAAAACATTCAGGAAGGGGGGGGGTAGCTAGGCATGTTTCCTTTCCGTGTCCTCTGACTTTTTTCTGTAAGAGTTTAAATGACTCACATTGGTTTTAAAATGCCGTCTTCTTTCTGCCAAATACCCTGTATGTTAACTGTCCCTTCTGCTCAAGAGACCAAATGAGAAATTGGGGGATTTCCTTGTTTTGCATAAAGTACTGGAAGGGTCTTCAGGGTTGAGCATTTGTCTGTGACAGCCTTGCTCTTGGGTTCCCTGTAGAAAAGCTGTCTGATAACACATGTGCCACCACTAGCCACTGGACTGCTTGTACTAATGACAGAACTTACTTACTCGGGAGTATTGTTTATTGAGGACTAGTTAGCATCATAGCTTCTTAAGAGTCTCCCAAATAAGCATGAGAATAGCAAGAATTAAAAAAAAAACTTACAGATGAGATGGGGGTGGGTAGTAGAAAGTCAGGGTCTAGATCAATAGTAGGACATTTGGCAGGCATTCAGAAGTCCCTGGGTTGGGTTTCCAGCACCACAAACAAACAATGAACAAACGAACAATAACAAACACTCACAGGTACTCCAGTCACTAGTCTCGGTTTAGGTCCTTGGCTCCATACAATGCTGTGTGGCACTCCTGAAGGTCTTGGCTCCAGGAACACAATGGGGAGCAAGGTTGGTGGGAGCCCCCTGTTCTCAGCCCGCTTGACTCTTCAGGAGAAACTCTTTGCATCATACCTCTTGAGCTCAGGAGACTAGGCACCATTTCAAAGGTTGCGACTCCCTCATACCCTGACTCTGTGCCCTGTAATTTCATCACTTCATCAGGGAGAAACCAGATGCAGAAACTGTTCAGGGTGCACCTGGTAGGCTCCGATGCTTTGTAGAAAGAACCCCCGCTCTGAGTGTGGGCTATGTGTCAAAGTCATGTAGAGAATTCAGTTATACAGTCAGTATACTGGCCGCAGGCCTTGGGAAGGGGTCTGCTAGTGAGGGTCCTGAGTGCTGAGTGAGCGAGCACAGGTGGCGGTATTGCGTGCATGGCTGGGCATGCACAGTTGTGGGAGACAGTTTTCATACTCTGTGTACATGCGCTTAATTTCCTTCAGGGATTCCATTTTCCCCTCCTCATTTCCCTCCTCAGTAAAGAGAACTCCAGCCCTCCCCCAACCCCACTGTAACTTACTCCTCAGAGCTCAGCTGACTTGTGTCAGTCTTACCTCCTTGATAACCTTTTCCGGTATTTCTGCCCTTCGTCCGCAGGCTGTCCTCCCATGAACGTCACCACCTAATGATGGTGAAAGTGTTCAGGACAGCAGCCTTCAGAAAGAACCCCCCCTTTTTCCAACAGTGGCCACTGGG